GGAATTCACTCAGGGCTGGCATTGCGGCGTCTAAAGCTCGGCGGTACACCTAGGTGGCTTTGTGAGTACTTGATATAAGAATCGTAGCTAGTCCAGGTGAGGTTCTAACCAGCATCTACACATAGTTTGGTTCCAGCTTGGCGCATCTGGTCACGCTCCGCAGGGGTACATTTCTGGGCGCAGTTATGTAGGTATTGCTGGTATGCACGGTTGCGGCACAGGCATTGAGGGCTAGGGAACGAGCAGCCGAAATCCTTGGATTTGCCTATTCCGCTATAGACACAATTTTTCTGGAAAAGTATGAATTAGAGAAGCTAGTATATCAAACTTCGATGGAAGAGCCCGCAACATACAGGGCATGGTGGAAGATTGTTAATGGGAGTAAGATCGACAGCCAGAGCTGCGGCTGCTAGCATGGTTACTGGGAGAAAGATTGAGAGCTTCATGATGCTGGTAGTAAGGTGAAAGTCAAAATTTTTATTTGATGGGTATGTGATCTCAAAGGGTAGACTTGAGGACAAGGAGATGATTGAGCGGGAGATGATTTACACGAGAAGAGGAAAATAGGAGCGGATGAAGGCAGCGATATTTATATCCAGCTCCCGGATATCGATCATCTGAATTATAGATTGACCATCTCTCTATAGAGTACTTCCCCAGAATATCCAGGGGTTGCGTCGGTCAGAATCGTCACATCGGTTGGAGCGGGTGGAATGGCAAAGGGGGTGGATCCTGTAGCGTAGTGGGGGTCACACGCGAAAAACAGCAAGGGCGCCTACATAGTAGGAGTAAGCATTGGTTTATCGCATAGTGGCTAAGACCGTTAACAAACTATCAGTCATGGATCGACTGGTTGACAGTCCGCCGAGCCATGGCTGAATTTTGTGGAGGGCTTATCGGGATAAAAAGCAATTTTATGCCCACTTGACTTGCCGCGACATCGGTTAGTCCAACGACTATCGGCATCAAAGTTTTCACCAACAAATTCTCCGGCGGCTTAGGTGGACTAGGCCGAGTATTTTGTGCAGAAAAAGTACAGCTGAATGGCCCAGCTTAAGGGCCAGAACCTTCGGTGATTCAAGTCGGGACATCGAGATCGAGGCCCGCCGTCCCCTGATTCTGTGCCATAGCTATGAAAGGGTTAAGTTAAGTTTTATTAAACAAGCAATATTCAGCAAGCAAGCTGTAATCACTTTGTGGTTTAACGGATATGGTGATTGTTGAAGCAGGCTCCATATATCCTGCGGGGAATCAAACTCGGAATCACCGTTCATCCATGTGAATTGAATGCGGATTGAAAATAGGAGGCCACTCGGGTTAAGCGAGTTTGATCAGGATCACAAGTCGGACTGTGTAGCTTAATTGCCTTGCCACCCACCATATCAAGCGGTCTAAGGGGGAAGCCATCATCTCTAGCAGCGGCCATAGCTCAATAGTTCTATTTTGGGTATCGTGGTATGGCCCTGACTAGAGCAATAGAGTGTTGATGTATTATCCATGGAGCACACACATCATGACTCTTTTTTTTAAAAGGTCGGCTAACTGCAGTTCACGTACACGCTCAGAAGGTTGTAGGTAAAACAGTATCAGGGAAGTGCAGTCATCGATGGAACAGTAGCCAAAGCATGTACCACATCACAGCTTCATCGTGAGCAAACAATACGGCAAACAAATGTCATATAAGCTCCGGAGCATTGCTCATGTTAGCCTCGTCTTTGGCTTTGGCTCTGTATCGGGCTAAAGGAAGATCATAAAACCATACGCGATGGCACTGTTAACACTTCGCCTCGCCTAAAACAGGGTCCGAACGGTGGTACATGGACGGGAATATCAGGATGGAAGACGTAAGCCCTATCCATGTAATCGTTGTTAGCTATTGTATTAAACAGTCGTTGTCGTTTTGTTTGTCGAGGATGTTTTTGTTATTATTTTTTGACATCGCAGAAGTTGACAATATATCCGTGTCACATGATATAATCGCTGATTAATAAGTCAAAAACTATAAATACTCCAAAAACTCGAGATCTAAAACAATTCACACTTCTCAAGTCAACCAGCAAGTCAACCAGCAGTCAACGTTGCTCAAGCTTCAGCTGGACTGTATCGATGCCAGTCTGATTATACCCTGCCCTGCATGTGAATGTTTCACCCAGTGATCAATATCCATGAGAGCTTGCTACCGAAACAACCATGGTTCCATCACTGCGCTGAGAAAGCAACAAAGCTCCTCAACTCTAGCGTCCAGGTCAGGGCTGATGCGAGTAAACCATACTTTCGCGTTGCCAGCTTCGTAGAAAGGCGTTCTAGATGCCGTGATATGATGAGGTCCTTACCGAATATACCATTACGCAATCGCTCACAGCGACCGCAGCAACGTGCGTGACTACGTTTCCCTAGAAGCGCTACTCATGGCCAGGTTCCCCCTTGATCTTGATCACTTCCCACAATTCAACGGGCTGCATAAAGTCGCCTTTAGTGATTTGGGAGGTGTGCGCAGAGTTGTCCGGCCCACTTCTCAAGCGTGGCCACAGAGACCCCTACTGCTGGGATGAAGTGATTGACACCTTTGCCAGATAGACATACACGAAATCGTGGCAATAACAAATGCCATGTTTTGATAGTTGGAACTTTTCGGCAGACAATAAAAAGAAACCGGGACTTTATTTGTAATAATAATAGGGAAAGGTTGGTTTCTGCGCAGACTTCTATATCAGCGCTAAGTGTTGGATGGCTTACTCTTCTTCACTACGGACGATTTCTTGGATCGTCTGTCCGTAGACAATTTGAAACAGCTCGGACCACTGTGCCCGCTCTTCCTCTCTATTCGGCCTTTGCAGAAGCTTTGCGAAGGACAATGGCGTTTGATGTGCCGCGATATTTCTAGCCTCGACATACTGTATTCAAATTAGTATATTGATATTATTAATATATAGGGGTATAGATGTATACCTTTGATAACCGGCGTAGTTCTGGCCAGTATTTGCTTGGAATCCCTTTGTCCACAAGGGTCATTGTTTGACTGTGGAAATAGTTTCCTTGCGGCCTCGATCAACATATCGCCATCGTATAGAACTTAGATTCTAGCAGAATGCTATATTAGCTAACTGGATGTTAATGGTATATAATAAAGAGAATAAGAACGATAGAGGATTACCGTGCAACATGTTTTGCTTGCTCCGCCCGATCGGCGCAAGTGGTATC